GCAATGCCTTGAGCCAGAGCACCTTACAATTTGCTTATTTTCCCTCTTGTCAAAAGACAGAAAAACCCTAAAGGCTCTCCAAACCCTTCAAAAGAAGAGGTTTTAAACTTCTGCTATGCGAAACATTCACGTACTTCATTTGTAAGCATTCTAGATTTCCAAAACTGCTGAATAGATGTTTTGTGCACTAGCAGTGATTAAGAACATAGCTACGTCAATGGCATTTTGTGTTTTGATTTTTTTCTGGTCCGGATGCCAATGAACAGCATGCATCTTCCTTGCAACAAGCTGTTGCAAGATTTTTGCCTCCGGGGAAGCCAAGGGGGAAATATTGACAGATGTATTAAAATAATCTTTCTAGACAGGGGGATCATATCCATTTTACAAGGATATAATCCCCTTTCTTGTTCTGCAATTATTTTAGGCTATGTGTAAAATTTCAACAAAAAATACAGTATTACAAATTCTTTTTCACATGGTAGTCTTCTCTCCCTCAGATAATGTTTGAAAAGAGTCCATGCCGTATAAAATACCAGTAGTGGTGGTCAATGGAGTAAGCATGTGGAATAGCTCAATCCCAAGTAAAAGATTTTTCCAAATTCTTGTTTGAAACAAGATCTGTCCAATTGGCTTGTCTTACTGCAGCCACTTCTAGAAACAGTTCAACTCCTAGGCTTCTCCTTCTATAAGACATGAAAAAAAGCATCGCTCCTATTCAAATTTTTGCATTAAAATGTCCTTTTGGACTATGATAGACTATCGCTTATTTTTCCCTTCTCTCAGCATCTTTGTCAGTCTAGTCTACCCTCACATTGACTTAACATGCACACCAAGGCAAGATTTCCTGTTACAGCTCTCTTTGGGCATCCCACTCCCCTCTTGCTCCTTTTTTGTCCGGAGTGCTAGCTTTAATTCTGTAGTTCTTATGGGTCCTGGATTTCAAGCCAGCCAGGTCATCAATACAGGAGGGGAAGACCTCCAGGTTTACAGAGAGCAGAATTGGTCACCAAATGGAACACATCCATTGACTCATATAATTATCAAAATTAAAAATTTGGGGTCTTTTTAATCAGAGGAGGGTGCTGACCACTGGTTAGCATAAATGAAGATGACTGGCAATAACATTCCTAAGTGAGAGTATCCGCACATGGATTTCTTCCTGTAAATTATAACTCCAGCTGTATCCAAGCTCCTTGGTGAAAGAAGACATAAATACAATTGCAATAAAAACAACAATGCAGTTGATGCTCAACAGAGTGCAAATAAGCTGGTTTGTTCAGAAAGTAAATGTAACTTATTAAAAGTGCAAGTCAAAATACTGTTCTATGTGAAAAAATACTTTTACGTATTTCTAAAACCAGCATTTGCTATTCATTATTAGTATAGCATACCCTTCTCTTTTGTACAGATAAAAATTGCTGCAGAGGTTTAAAAATAATAGAATCTATTAACTTGTACAAAATCTGCTTGTCCATCATGGGTTAAGGGATTCTTGGCCTATCAGCAATCTTCCACAGAACTCTTAATATTAAAAATTTTTGCTACTTATACCGTGAGGGAGAAAGAGCTGACAAAAGCCTTTGGCCAGTGAGATCAAAATTGGGGATGGGGGGAGAAAGGGGAGTTTAGCTTATTTACATTTCTGCTTTGTTAGTAAACTGGAATGGTTGGAGCAGGAGGGAAAGAAAAAGAAGAGAGAGAAAAGTGAAATTAACAGCCACTAAATCTTCTGGCAACAGCAGTGCATTTTGATGATGTGCTGCGTCAGCTTCCACTAATGGTTTAGGGTTGAATCAGGCACAGTTCAAGACCCAAAGCAGTGCAGGGCATCACATCTCATTCTTTGGAAGAACACGTACCCTAATTATGAAGATGCCTACAAAATAAAGAGATCAGGATTTCTGGCAGAGCAGAATAATGATCTGCTTAACGGGAAATCAGAATGCCATTTTGAATCCCTAAAAATCATAAAAGAGTAGGATTTCAGTCCTGTAATGAATGCGTGTCTGAACGAGAAGCGCTACCATTTTGAAAGAAAACTATCTTTCTGAACAAAACCCATCGAAGTTGCTTTTTCTGCTCTTAGGGGTTCATCTCCCTGGTCTATTCCAGTAATGTGAACGGAAACAAAGGCTGTATATGTGTGTGCCACTTACCACACAAAATATCCGTCCAGTATTTCAGAGAGCACAGGAAGGAAATGCCCACTGAGCTAGGGACATGCCAATGTCAGTGCTGCCTGTGCCAGTCCCTTCCCGTGAAATTCGCGGCGTGCGGCAGAACACGATGCGGGGCGGCAGGCTTGCGGTGGGGTGGGGAGGCAGCTTAAACAGGGAGTGGAAGAGAATCAGCCATTTGGGAGGTTTAATAGGGGGCTGTTTGTTTGTCTGCCCTTTCGATGTTAAATTAGTCTTCAATTTTGTTGCAAGGAGGGAGGCATTGGGAAAAGGATGCTTCTCTTCCAGTAAACCCTGGGAAAGCAACACCTTTATTTTAACGGCCTTCCCACCAAGAACCCCCTGCAACATTTTGGCTTTCCCTAGCCATAGCTATCAGCAACACAACAGCTGCTCATTTTACAATGACTTGCTGGAGAGAGAATGATTGAAAGAGCCAATCTATGTCACATGGAGAAGCTGTGGCACAACATTGCAGGAGGTAATAGGAGAGGAATGAGGTCAGAACAAACAAGGGTAGGGTGAGAACGCAGAGGAAAATAGCAGCGAACAAAATTATTAAAGGCGAGACGCTGTACTACACAATCGATGTTTAAAAGCAGCCACAACCTGAATGCTGCAAACAGCCACAGAAATGCAAACAAGCTCTGTATTACTTTTCCATAGGGTCTCATGAATATGCCCGATGAAAAAAGCTACCCAAGTCCTAGTAATGATGCACAATGGTGGGAACACACGTAGGTGAAAGCACAGTCTAATTCATACGGCTTGAAAGCTCCAGCACCCGGCAGCATCCTACTAGTCGCAGGGTTTTAAATAGCAGCCTTGCTCGTGTCCTTTTGTAGCTCGAGAAATGCAGCAGCAGCAACGCTACCGCAGCTGCCCGGCTCCCCTCCGGAGAGCCATTACCTCACGCCTGGGAGTTCACCTTTAGCAAAAGAGCTGCAAAGACCAGGAGCTCGCCCACACCGGTGAAACAACGGCGGGCAATTTTGATTTAGCACCATTCATAAAAATCCTTCCTGAGAAAGAGTTGCTTTTGTGTTACTGCAGCAGACCAGAAAACCACCATGCAAAATGGTGGCACGGTTTGTATGAAGAGGCAATACTTTTCACTCAGCCAGTCACAAAAATGAGCTTTTGGGCTCAGCTGAAGTGAAGCAGCGACTCTGACCCTGACTTTCGGGCCCACATCCCTTCTCTTTTTACCCCACAGGGATCAACTGGTTTCATAAAAGTTATTAATTTCCCCTACACATTGTCCTGTTCCCATCCTTATCTATCATGGCTACAATAAAGCTATTTTCAGCATCACAATGTTCTTTCCCTTTTCAGCAATCAGGCTGCTAAAATGCCAACTCATTTACTTGCCTGAATCTGACTGTGGGAAAACGCTACCTTTCCAGCTAGGTGGACTATCTGGCTTCACTCAACAACAGGGACGGGCTTCTGCGCCACGTACTGGGAAATATGCTGGAAATACAAAGCTACCATACTGCACATAATGCAAATACTCCGGTCCTGCTGCTGTCACTGCTATTCCTGCCCCATCTGAGCACGAGCTGCTGATCAGAGCGGCTGGAGAAGGAAGAAATAACTGCAGGGCACACATGCAGCATCAAGGCTCCACGCACTCAGGCCACATTCAGTATGCAACATTCCTGCGTGCGCTGGGCTTACTCCCCTTTGCTTATCCAGTTTAACTTGTGTATACAAACAGGCACGTACATTTTACACAGATACTTCTGTATTGAATACTGAAACACATGCTACTCATTGAACTTTAACCTGCATTTGGTTTACAGCACACCTAGTGAAAAGCCATCGCTGCCTTCCTTTCTTTTAACTGAGCTCCATGCTGACTTTTTCGTGGTTTTGTCAGCAACTGATGTTATTCCTGGGGTAATGTCAGTGCTCTCCTAGTCTTAGGAGTAGGAGAATACTAGAATATTCCTAGAATACTTAGGAATTCCCCTAGTATTCAAATCATCAGAAAATAATAAAAAAACCTGAGCATCAGAAAGAATAAACTCATCTGAAATACCAAATACGCATTGCTGCCTGACCCCCTGCAAGTAACATGCCAGATGGGTGGGGACACAAGGTAAGAACCAGAATTAATGCATGCCTTTTTTTTTTTGTTCCGGGTATCTTAACAGATTTCCGCAAATTCTGCATGTATGTGAATGACTGTGAATTATACTCTATGTGGCACAAGTGAGCGAGTGGCAAGCATACCACTGGCATTTCAATTATTACTGGTGGGCTGCATTCCTAGTAACTTGCTGACCTTTGCAAATATTAAAAGTATCTCATACAATATTCTGTACTCATGTCCAAAATTACACTACCACAATACAGGGTTGGAAAAATCTCTGCCTCATCCTGTGGATCTGAAACCATCATACAAGTCCAAAAGCCAAAACCAATAAAAATACACAGTAAAAACAAAAAAGGGACCCTGTAAATAACAGAGATAAATTAGTGACAGATAGATGAGACACAAACCAAATAAAAAAATTACGATCAAGTATTTGCATTAGTCGATGATAAAGACATTTATCAAACACATATGTGAAGTCCAGTTCAGAATTTTGAGCACTCCAAGGGCTTGGCAGCTGAAGTTTAGATGGAATTTACCTCTGCTTTAAGTATGCGGGAAGGGGCGGGGAGTTTCTTTTTGGTTTGTTTTTTTTTTTTCCCCAGAAAAAGGCCCTGAAAATGCAGGATTCTCAGCAAATAAATTAATTTGGAATACAGGACTATTTATTTATTTAATAAACCTGCCTATTGGTTTAATTTTGTTTGTTGGAACAAACTTACCTGGAATACTCGCTGGAGAAATGGGACCAGATCTTGACTGGTTGCTTCCAACGGGAGAGCCTACGGGGGAAGGCGATGGGCCCCCGGGGATGCCAGAGAGATGTGGAGAAGCATGAGGGGAGAACGGAGACTGTGCAGGGTTGCTCTGCTCCCCTTGGCTGCTCGTAGAGCCTGACGCGCTAACGGCTGAGCTCAGGGTTGCTTCGGTTCCAGTCGGCAAGTCGTCAATGGATCCAGATAAATCCTGAGGAGAAAGGAAAAAAGAATGTAAGTAGTTGTTTGAACTAATACTCAGGCCACAGGACGAGAGAGCTGGCATGGTGACAAGGTCCATTTGTTTACTTATTGCAGCAGATAACTGAGAGGTTGTCTTTAACATTGGTTCATGTAGTTACATGATGGCAGAAAATGAGGATAGTATGTACAGTTCTCCACTTAATCTCCAATTCTTTCGAGAAAGAGAACAAGCAAGGGCAACAAATGAATTGGAACCAAATTCACTCAACATTGAATTTAACCTTTTCCATCTGGATTAAGCTTTCAAAATTAATCCCACAACTTCTGCCTGAGCATACTAAAGCTAATGAAAATGATACATCAGTTTCACTTACACACAGTATTTCATTTTGGGGTTTGCTACCGTTACAATCACAGCTTATAGACGTCACTCTTTAAACCACCACCCAAAGCGAGAGAAGAAGGGCGTAAAATACGCAGCCCTTTAACACTCGCACGCAGCTCCTTCACCTTGCAGAAGGGACACAAGGAGAGGCCCTGCCCTCAGCAGCAGCACAGGAGCCAATGGCCACCTAGAGAGGCAGCCTTCCGTGCTTCTATTTCCATCGAATACCAGTGTACAACACACAGTTTCTCTTCAATTTCATTTGAAGACACTGCTAAACAGTTGCTCCATTTCAGTTCATAACTGCTGCATTTTCAATGAGAAATTTTCTCCGTAGGTCAAAGCACATCTGAAGCCTAACTATGAATTGCTGGGCATATTCCCTAAAGCTGTAACACGGGAGTTATACTGGCCTTTGGATCTGTGGGATTAATTTGTTGGTTTTTTTAATCAATGTAAAATCAGGTATGAAACACAAAGAATGCTGTGACAAAGCAAGTGCATGCCCCTTACCTGTCAGGAAAAATGTTAATTCCTAAGCATCAGAGAAAAATTTCATACAAACTGAAAAGTGCTGAGACAGCTGTGACTATTAGCAAGGCACAAGTTAAGGAGCATGTTACTATTTCTATGAGTGACTTAAGGTGCAAACAAGAGGCAGAGAGCTACCTCCCATATAAAACAGGTCATGACCCGTTGAGGCTTCCAATAATGGGGGTGACAAAGTGTGTTACTTCGCTGATACTGACTTCACTTGTCTGGATCATGCAAGTGGTTGCACCACAGACAACAGAACTCGTTGTCCAAGTAGCACAAAAAGAACTGGGCTCTGCCTGAGCAAAGAGCTCAGGAACCAGAGCCTTACTGCCACCTCATTTTCATAACAAAATGTTATTTTTAGAAGTTACCAAACTCGGAAGAAATGCAAAGTAGTGTATTTAGAGTAAGAGTCCTGCCTGATGCTGACTACCTCCGTTACAAGGCAGGCTCACAGCCAGTCTCCCCTAACAGAGTCAGTCTCCCGAGGCATGGAAGGAGTAGGATCAACAGCCCAAACACCAATAACATTAATCAGAAGCCACCTACATGCTATTCTTCCTCGTGCATAAAGGTAGTAAATACAACCCACCCGACTTAGCTCTCTGCAGGACACCTCGCAGACCTTATTTCCAACAAATTTCCACAAATACTTCAAGCACAACTCTCAACACAAGTTAATTTTGCTTTTTCTGACAAGCACAAAATTGTACGTGTATTTCATTAGGCATATGAAAAGCAAAACTTAAGTTTGAAACTTCTATCTATGCGTGGACTCCGCATTCACTCAAGAGTAGACTTCCAAATCCCTACAAATATAAATTTAATTGTGAAATGGGCAATAAACTGTTTTTATTGTTTCTTTTTCGGTATGATTCACTGTAGAAAATGTAAACAAGAAATAACACTGTTTGATACTGCATAGAGCAATGCTTTAGATTTTTCACAATAGAATATATTTGGCAAACAGGTAAGCAATTACTACTTTTCCATACATAGTATGGTATTCTCCTAAATGAAATCAAATCGCTGCTGTCGTGATGTGCAACAAATGCTGCAGCAAGCGCTGATAAAACAAATGCCACTGAAAAGCATATAATAAGCCCCTGAAAACCGAATGTAGCAGAATAGGGCCGATTCTAAAGGAATACAAATTCTGCATAAAAAAGCAGATAGGTACCCAACTGATAGAAGATATAGAAAACACAGGGGTTTACGTTTAGAGTAACAAAGATTTTAAAAGGGTGCGTGGATTAAAGCTTTCATTCGTTTCAGCAAGCCACGAAGTACTTGGAAAACAATCACGCCAAAATAACAAAAAGCCATGAAGCAGTTAGCACTGTCCGCGATTAAATTATCTGTTGTTCAGAGACCAAGGCAAAACCTGACCGCTCCCCACAGCATCTCCCCAGCTTGCTGAGCGTGCACGTGGGGAAGAACCCGGGGACAGGAATAAAGTTCACTTCTCCCATCAGGTCTCATCTGACTTCTCCAGCCTCCCGCGGGGGTGGAGTGACTGAGTCTCAGGCGCTTCCTCAAGTGCCTGCCTTCCAGGGATTTCCTCACCAACCTGATGCAATTCCTTCACAAAAGCAGAAAAGAAAGAGGAAAGCTTGCATGATGCCAGTCTATTTAAAGCGTGAAGCCATGCCACCCTCCTCCAGTACACGCAGAGGGAGCAACCAGGCAGGCTCAGCACACCCGGGGTGGCCTCACGTGCGCCTGGCGTAAGCACTGGGATTTCCTCCCCAGGCTGGGGAACTTCGCAATCAACTCATCTGCCGAGGATGCTGCGGTAGCATTCGTTCATCAGACCCATCAAGAAAGCTGATAACGAGGTTGCTCTCAGTACAGCACGAAAGGCTGTTGCCTACCTGGAAGCCTGGGCTGTTCTATACAACCTTAACCTTGTGTTACAGCATGCTAAAATGAGAAGTATCAGCCGTTCTTCGCAGGGTGGTTTGCAGATTATTACTTCATGTTTTTTTGTTAACATACGCTTCATGGCCTTACCTAGCCTTCTGAGGCAGAAAGCCTGAGTAGGCGAGCAACTGGGAAACCTCCAGCACACAAAGGCTTTAGAAACACCTCTGTTATCCACAAAAGCTAATTGGGAAATTAGAGAAGGAGAAGAAAGACTTTGTGTGAAGCACCCAGACAGAAAGAGCAGAAGTCCACTTGCTGTTCTTCTATTATCAGTATTTTAATGCTTGCTTTTACCTCGGTTTAACAGAACAGTAATGAAGTCATGTGCAATTTCCACATCACAAACATTTATTTATATATAAAATACTGTACACGTACATGTTATATACGTAAATTACATGGATATACTTGCATTTACTTAGCATATCCATACGTAAAGCTATTAAAAAGCCTACTAATAAGAGAAATTCACAGTGGTTTAAGCACACAGCCTAGTTAACAAAGAAGCTCTGTAACTAATACTCCTCTAGAGGACAATTTAGTCAGCAGGGCACCAACTCTATTCTTCTTTTATAAGTACTATCAGATCTATGATGCCTGTAAAGAACAGAGAGACCTTACTTACTGCATCTCATTCAAACCAAGGCACCTTCAAGCTACAGTGCTTCCATTTATCTTGTTGGAAAGTTGGCAGGTTAGGTAATTGCTGGGATTCTTTTAAGGGGCTGAAGTCCCCATACCCTAAGGCATGCCTTAAATTTTGCCTCTTTTCAGAGGCTTTTTCTGGAAAGCACTTATTTCTTTCAGTAAAATGTAACAAGTCTAGAATTACCAGAAATCTCTTGTTTTCTTGTCTATGGTATTGGTATGACTGTATTTTCAAATGTGGCACCAAATCTAAGAAAAAATGAAGCACAAAATATTCCCCCCCCTCCCCCCCGTCCACAAACCCCTATTACAATTCTGTATTTTCTATGTCAGCTTTACACCTTGTATTATTCAGGACATCCCAGTCAGTCTTCAAAGTTCATTTCTAGATAATACCTTGATTGCAAACTGAAATGTCCTTGCACAGGATTTCTCTCAGCACTTTAGCAAAGTGTTTTATCTTCAACTATCTTCACTTCTAGCCTCACCTTCCACCCTTGCACAACCTTTATTCTTGTCCCTCTGACAAGTACAAGAGTTAAAATGAACAGGATCACATTGTGCTTGGGATTATAACATTATGCCTTCCTGGTGGTACGATCTTATCAGGCTGACAGGAGAGACACTCTTGGTACAGCACACCAATTTACTATTGCAACGCGGCCAGCAAGGGGTAGAAGGAAGCAAACTGATTATACAGAGCCAGGAAACGCAAAGTTACTTACAAAGAGAGCACAAGAAAAAGAAACAAAACACCCATATGCAATACAATATAATATAATATAATAAAATAACGTTAACTTACTCAAGGAATACACCTAGATCCAATAAGCAGCAAAAAAGAGACTACAGTAACTCGATAATACCACCGTAATTTTACACACAGACTGTGACAGGATTAGAGCATTCACCACGGAGCAAAAAATTTACATGCAAACTCTTCACACAGTTGCCAGTTTTGCTCAAGTGTCTCAGCAGACATAAACCCAGATTTTACTACAGGGATTCCTTGCTAAATACCTACAGCTGAAAAATGATGAGCACCTTCTCTGAAATCAGTAGAAAGGGAAAGTGTGGAGCACCTTGCTAACTGAGCTCCTATGCCGCTAAATTACACCTCAAGTTCACTGATAGGTTTGTAGTTTGGGGCCCTCTTGCAGGGACTGTGCGGTGCATATACAACCTGGGATTTATTTTAACCTCCCAACTATTGCCTATCGGTTCCTGTATGCTCAGGGAGTAGAAGAAAAGCAGAGGTATTCTGTAGATATTAAAATGAACGATACACAAAACCTCCCAGTCTCCCAAGAAGCTGAAAATCCCAGACTCTACCCTGCCATCCATTTTGCTAGCACGAATCCCAGTGCCACACGTAGGGAATGGCAGCAACCGACTGGCTGCAGGATCAAAGCCCTGTTCACTCCATTCAGGCCTTCCTGCAGTATTTTCAATAGGATGGAGGATGGTGCTGCTCAAAAGACGGGATCCTGCACGAAATATCCATCTCCTTATCATGAATCACCGCTTTAGAAGTAAAATTATACATACAGGCAAACACATCTTACATGTAAGTATGTAAATATATATTCAAGCAGACATACACTCTGCTATTGTTTTGGAGCCATGGGGGATTATGAACAATATGCTCTATAATTGAGATTAACTTTGAACAAATTATTTGGCTGACAAACACATATATGCACACAAAGGGAAAACCCACAAAAGCTCTGTTTAAATTTCAAGATATTTGTAAGACCTCTTTTCATCACAAAGCAGCCTATAATAGCATGTTTCAAGAAGTCTTCCAAAGGCCCTGCTGGTCACATTGTCAAGGCAGCGAGCGAGCTAACAACCTGGCACTGCCAAAAACACACGCTCACAGTAACGATGGGGACCATGAGGAAAATCCGTTCATTTTCAAAGGCTGCTACCCCCTACATGGGTGTCTTCCTTCCACACCAGCTACGCTGCAACCCTCAACTAAGCACACCAAACATACCTAATGCACATCCTTTAAGAATTCTTCTTTAACAGGAGACAGCAAGACTGCTGGTAGTTTTTCACCGAAATGCCTTTTACACCCCTTACTGAAATGAATTCTGGGACAGAAAACAAGGTTCATTCTCTGAATCTTGTTATTTCATGGTTTGGAGAAGGAAATGTAGGCAAGATCACTTCCATTTCAAACAACTCCTTGAGGAAAAAGCTAAATTTTTATTGATGGGCGTAACTCTACCTCAGAACATGCTACTGTAAGGACAGGATACGTTTCATACTAAATACTTACTTGCAAGACAAACCCAAACTTTGACAATAGTTGGGTAGAGGTACTTTTTAGTTAGTCATGGTACTTGTCAGTACTTTATTCCACTTACTAGATGTTTTAGTGTTTTTAATAACATTTTTAACTTTAACCTCTCTGTGGTAAACTATTCATGCAGTACTCTAGATGAAGGAAATTCTGAGTGTATGATAAAACCACTAGCTTCTTGCACTAAATTTAGTGACAAAGCACCACTTGCTGGGGAATCACATTCCCTTCATTCTGCAGACCTCACATGCTTCCCAAAATAACTCAG